TGAATGGTCCCCAGGACTATATACAACTGAAAACTCACACCCCAGAAGTGACTCGAACCCATACTCCCACAACTGGTATGTACAGGGACGCCTTAATCCGCTTGACCATCACGACCGGACATAAGGAAGTGATAGCCGAGGCTATATGAACCACTTCCCCGCCGGCACTCGGATGGTAATCTTGGGCATAGCATTTTATCAAATCACCTCATTCTTTGGGGCACACGTGAGGAACACAAATGCAAACAAGCCTGAATGGTCCCCAGGACTATATACAACTGAAAACTCACACCCCAGAAGTGACTCGAACCCATACTCCCACAACTGGTATGTACAGGGACGCCTTAATCCGCTTGACCATCACGACCGGACATAAGGAAGTGATAGCCGAGGCTATATGAACCACTTCCCCGCCGGCACTCGGATGGTAATCTTGGGCATAGCATTTTATCAAATCACCTCATTCTTTGGGGCACACGTGAGGAACACAAATGCAAACAAGCCTGAATGGTCCCCAGGACTATATACAACTGAAAACTCACACCCCAGAAGTGACTCGAACCCATACTCCCACAACTGGTATGTACAGGGACGCCTTAATCCGCTTGACCATCACGACCGGACATAAGGAAGTGATAGCCGAGGCTATATGAACCATATAGCCTCGGCTATCACTTCCTTATGTCCGGTCGTGATGGTCAAGCGGATTAAGGCGTCCCTGTACATACCAGTTGTGGGAGTATGGGTTCGAGTCACTTCTGGGGTGTGAGTTTTCAGTTGTATATAGTCCTGGGGACCATTCAGGCTTGTTTGCATTTGTGTTCCTCACGTGTGCCCCAAAGAATGAGGTGATTTGATAAAATGCTATGCCCAAGATTACCATCCGAGTGCCGGCGGGGAAGTGGTTCATATAGCCTCGGCTATCACTTCCTTATGTCCGGTCGTGATGGTCAAGCGGATTAAGGCGTCCCTGTACATACCAGTTGTGGGAGTATGGGTTCGAGTCACTTCTGGGGTGTGAGTTTTCAGTTGTATATAGTCCTGGGGACCATTCAGGCTTGTTTGCATTTGTGTTCCTCACGTGTGCCCCAAAGAATGAGGTGATTTGATAAAATGCTATGCCCAAGATTACCATCCGAGTGCCGGCGGGGAAGTGGTTCATATAGCCTCGGCTATCACTTCCTTATGTCCGGTCGTGATGGTCAAGCGGATTAAGGCGTCCCTGTACATACCAGTTGTGGGAGTATGGGTTCGAGTCACTTCTGGGGTGTGAGTTTTCAGTTGTATATAGTCCTGGGGACCATTCAGGCTTGTTTGCATTTGTGTTCCTCACGTGTGCCCCAAAGAATGAGGTGATTTGATAAAATGCTATGCCCAAGATTACCATCCGAGTGCCGGCGGGGAAGTGGTTCATATAGCCTCGGCTATCACTTCCTTATGTCCGGTCGTGATGGTCAAGCGGATTAAGGCGTCCCTGTACATACCAGTTGTGGGAGTATGGGTTCGAGTCACTTCTGGGGTGTGAGTTTTCAGTTGTATATAGTCCTGGGGACCATTCAGGCTTGTTTGCATTTGTGTTCCTCACGTGTGCCCCAAAGAATGAGGTGATTTGATAAAATGCTATGCCCAAGATTACCATCCGAGTGCCGGCGGGGAAGTGGTTCATATAGCCTCGGCTATCACTTCCTTATGTCCGGTCGTGATGGTCAAGCGGATTAAGGCGTCCCTGTACATACCAGTTGTGGGAGTATGGGTTCGAGTCACTTCTGGGGTGTGAGTTTTCAGTTGTATATAGTCCTGGGGACCATTCAGGCTTGTTTGCATTTGTGTTCCTCACGTGTGCCCCAAAGAATGAGGTGATTTGATAAAATGCTATGCCCAAGATTACCATCCGAGTGCCGGCGGGGAAGTGGTTCATATAGCCTCGGCTATCACTTCCTTATGTCCGGTCGTGATGGTCAAGCGGATTAAGGCGTCCCTGTACATACCAGTTGTGGGAGTATGGGTTCGAGTCACTTCTGGGGTGTGAGTTTTCAGTTGTATATAGTCCTGGGGACCATTCAGGCTTGTTTGCATTTGTGTTCCTCACGTGTGCCCCAAAGAATGAGGTGATTTGATAAAATGCTATGCCCAAGATTACCATCCGAGTGCCGGCGGGGAAGTGGTTCATATAGCCTCGGCTATCACTTCCTTATGTCCGGTCGTGATGGTCAAGCGGATTAAGGCGTCCCTGTACATACCAGTTGTGGGAGTATGGGTTCGAGTCACTTCTGGGGTGCGAGTTTTCAGTTGTATATAGTCCTGGGGACCATTCAGGCTTGTTTGCATTTGTGTTCCTCACGTGTGCCCCAAAGAATGAGGTGATTTGATAAAATGCTATGCCCAAGATTACCATCCGAGTGCCGGCGGGGAAGTGGTTCATATAGCCTCGGCTATCACTTCCTTATGTCCGGTCGTGATGGTCAAGCGGATTAAGGCGTCCCTGTACATACCAGTTGTGGGAGTATGGGTTCGAGTCACTTCTGGGGTGTGAGTTTTCAGTTGTATATAGTCCTGGGGACCATTCAGGCTTGTTTGCATTTGTGTTCCTCACGTGTGCCCCAAAGAATGAGGTGATTTGATAAAATGCTATGCCCAAGATTACCATCCGAGTGCCGGCGGGGAAGTGGTTCATATAGCCTCGGCTATCACTTCCTTATGTCCGGTCGTGATGGTCAAGCGGATTAAGGCGTCCCTGTACATACCAGTTGTGGGAGTATGGGTTCGAGTCACTTCTGGGGTGTGAGTTTTCAGTTGTATATAGTCCTGGGGACCATTCAGGCTTGTTTGCATTTGTGTTCCTCACGTGTGCCCCAAAGAATGAGGTGATTTGATAAAATGCTATGCCCAAGATTACCATCCGAGTGCCGGCGGGGAAGTGGTTCATATAGCCTCGGCTATCACTTCCTTATGTCCGGTCGTGATGGTCAAGCGGATTAAGGCGTCCCTGTACATACCAGTTGTGGGAGTATGGGTTCGAGTCACTTCTGGGGTGTGAGTTTTCAGTTGTATATAGTCCTGGGGACCATTCAGGCTTGTTTGCATTTGTGTTCCTCACGTGTGCCCCAAAGAATGAGGTGATTTGATAAAATGCTATGCCCAAGATTACCATCCGAGTGCCGGCGGGGAAGTGGTTCATATAGCCTCGGCTATCACTTCCTTATGTCCGGTCGTGATGGTCAAGCGGATTAAGGCGTCCCTGTACATACCAGTTGTGGGAGTATGGGTTCGAGTCACTTCTGGGGTGTGAGTTTTCAGTTGTATATAGTCCTGGGGACCATTCAGGCTTGTTTGCATTTGTGTTCCTCACGTGTGCCCCAAAGAATGAGGTGATTTGATAAAATGCTATGCCCAAGATTACCATCCGAGTGCCGGCGGGGAAGTGGTTCATATAGCCTCGGCTATCACTTCCTTATGTCCGGTCGTGATGGTCAAGCGGATTAAGGCGTCCCTGTACATACCAGTTGTGGGAGTATGGGTTCGAGTCACTTCTGGGGTGTGAGTTTTCAGTTGTATATAGTCCTGGGGACCATTCAGGCTTGTTTGCATTTGTGTTCCTCACGTGTGCCCCAAAGAATGAGGTGATTTGATAAAATGCTATGCCCAAGATTACCATCCGAGTGCCGGCGGGGAAGTGGTTCATATAGCCTCGGCTATCACTTCCTTATGTCCGGTCGTGATGGTCAAGCGGATTAAGGCGTCCCTGTACATACCAGTTGTGGGAGTATGGGTTCGAGTCACTTCTGGGGTGTGAGTTTTCAGTTGTATATAGTCCTGGGGACCATTCAGGCTTGTTTGCATTTGTGTTCCTCACGTGTGCCCCAAAGAATGAGGTGATTTGATAAAATGCTATGCCCAAGATTACCATCCGAGTGCAGGTGGGGAAGTGGTTCATATAGCCTCGGCTATCACTTCCTTATGTCCGGTCGTGATGGTCAAGCGGATTAAGGCGTCCCTGTACATACCAGTTGTGGGAGTATGGGTTCGAGTCACTTCTGGGGTGTGAGTTTTCAGTTGTATATAGTCCTGGGGACCATTCAGGCTTGTTTGCATTTGTGTTCCTCACGTGTGCCCCAAAGAATGAGGTGATTTGATAAAATGCTATGCCCAAGATTACCATCCGAGTGCCGGCGGGGAAGTGGTTCATATAGCCTCGGCTATCACTTCCTTATGTCCGGTCGTGATGGTCAAGCGGATTAAGGCGTCCCTGTACATACCAGTTGTGGGAGTATGGGTTCGAGTCACTTCTGGGGTGTGAGTTTTCAGTTTGATATATATATATATATATATATATATATATATATATCAATCACAATGCGTACTCACCTGTTAACGTTCTCGGGCATCTCAGAGTCCCACTCGGGAGCTCTTAAATTGTGTGTTCTCATTTTACATTTTCACATTTTCTTTTGGGGTTATTATTACAAATTAGGTGTTAAAATGTTTGCAAATAAATTTGCTAAGAGAATAGATGCAAAAAAAAAATTTGTATATGTAATAGATTATGCATCACAATACAGTACCAAATATATGAATGTTCATAAATATTTCAACATTACTCATATATATTTCAACATAAATATAAATGAAAAATGTGGAAATGTATGCATATGACCAGTCTATATCACTGTAAAAAGAAAAAAATATAACTCGTACTCTTCCAGCAGGTAATTTACTAGGAAATTGAAAAAATACAGTACTCTCAAGAAGAGTAATTATCATCTTGAGTGATAAATAGTTGGTCATCATGAATCATGATGGTCCCTGATACTCTGATTGGTCCCCTGATAAGCCCCAAATTAAAAATATGTATGAATAAAAATGATTTTGGGGTATTTGAAGATGGATGATGTATTTTAGCATTATCAGAACATTTACTGTCAAGAGTACAAAAAAATGTTTTTTTGTGTCAATGGAATGCTAAAGTGTTTTAACAACATTTGTATTGAATTCAATATTACCTTTTTGTCTCCAAGCATGGCATCGCCAAGCTGACCAAGTATAGTGGCCTCCAGTTCATAATTGACTACTAGTGCCTTTTCTGTTGGATGTACATCCAGTGAACCAACTTTCACCTTCCTGCTCAAACAAATAAATATAAAAGTTAGGTGGCATGTTTCAAATCTACCAAAACAAATGTACAGATTATATAGACAAGAGTCTTCTCTATGTTTGACAAATTTGTTTCCTTTTCTTTTTGTTTTAAGTCTTGCACACAAGGATGGATGAAACAACTGAGGTGGTTTGGTGCAGTTTGGTCATCATACCACAACTGAAGTTTATAATGGAAATATATTCTGGAAATGTATGTCCCTACCAATAATCATAATAATAATCATAATCTTTATTCACAAGAATGTGTGTACAAAGAACATAAGAGTAATGTACAATTATATGGACAGGAGTTACACATGCTGATGAAGCCACTATTATGCAAAGCGTTTCGGGCAAAACGTATTTCCTCAAGTAAGTGAAATAAAACTAGCATTGAATGTAATGAAACGCCATTTTCTGGACGAGACCCGGAGGCTTCCCGGAACTATCCAGGCTGATATGGATATATTAGACTTTAACATCAGTTAATGTGAATGGAGTTCTAGGCCTACTGGGGACCACGAGCCAGAACTTGGGTTCCTCAGAGAGGCGCACGGAGCAATGGCCTATAGAAACCCCCGTGTGGTTGGGAGCATTCTCTGTCTGCCATCAACCGGGTCAGGCACCCAGAAAGGTAAGCGCCCCAAAACAAATCTCTATTCTGGTTAAGAAATTGCTACTGAAAGCCGAATTAATGGACAGAACTCCCCAAATGAAAATGAGCAAACGAGACTGATGTCACCACGTCGCTATCTGCGCAGTCTCCCCCCACCCTCCCCAGGAGGGGGAAGGGGGAGCCCCAGACCCTTATGCCAGCTATTCACACCCCATTTCTGCGGCTGGACGTCAAGAACCGCTGACCGGAGGGAGGGAGGGTTGCCAGGGAGCCTCCAGGTTTCACCCAGAAAATGGCATTTTATTACATTCAATGCTGGTTTTCTGGGAAGAGCCCCTTTGACTCCCCGGAGTTACTTACCCAAATACAAAAACAAGAGGGACTTAAATGGGAGGCAGTCAGCACTCACTCCTCAATGCGAAGTTGAGACAACTGGCTGCAACCACCGACCCAATATGACACTGGCCCGACTAGGCCCAGGAACATTGACAAGGTAGCAAGCAGCTAAGACCCTGTACGACCTTCAAAAACCCCGTGCCTGAATGTCAGCCCAGGACATGTTACCAAAGACAGCAGCCAGCGCAGCAAACTTATGAATGTCACGGGCACGGGAATAGACCGCAGGCTGGCTGGACAGAATAACCCTGCAGAGGACCTGGGAGACCCGTACCCTGGAACAGGGAAGAAGGGGAAACCAGGTGAACCCAAAGTGCATCCCCAGCCACAGAGGCAGTAGCGCGCAGGTATCAGCGGAAAACTGTGACCGGACACAACGCATGATGCCCCCCCCCTTCCCCCCCCCCCCCACACTAACCAGCCAAGCATCAACAACCCAGGCACCCTTCCAGAAAGCAGCAGTCTCATTTGTTGCCAGAAAAGAAGGAGACGGCTGCAAACGAACAAACCTATCACCAGGAACGAAATAGCAGAAACCCTTGCACCGGATGATAACACGAAGCTTCCCTACCCGACCCCCCAGAGGCCACTGCCAACAAGAAAAGAGCCTTGGAGAAACAATCCTGAACCGAAAGGGCCATCACAAACCGAGGAGAAGAAAGAAAAGAGAGCTCCCGATCTAAAGACCAGGACAGCTCAGGCGGCGCATGAGCAGGCCTGAGGTGAAACAAAGCCCGAGACAGCTTGCGGAATGGTTCAGAAGTAACATCAATGCTGAACACAAGCTGCAGCGCCTCTGCCAACTCCACAAGATACAAGGCGACAGTATTCGACCTAAGATGACAGTCCTGGAACAACCACAAAAGGAAGGACAAAACAACCTGAACAGAGACCGAAGTAAACCGACGAAGGGACAAGAAAAACCGAAAGGACCACCAGGAAACTTCATACTGCCGCTAAGATGGAGCACGCAGATGGGACACCACCAAAGAAGCCACCTGTTCACATTCAAGTGGTGATAGACCCGAGTCAGAGAGACCAGACATGAAGACTCAAGGAGACAATCGAACCAGCCACGTAACTGATTGGTCTGATATTCTGAAAGAGGCGGAGTCACAGGAAGACTTCCCCAGGTTCGGACACCGAGCAAACAGCGCCTGAAACCAAGACTGGGCCGGCCACCAAGGAACCAAGAGGACTGCTCTCCCTTGTTGAGTCTCCAAGCAAGCTAGGACCTGGAGCAACAGCTGAACTGGGGAGAAGAGGTACAGGTAACCCAAACTCGACCAGTCCTGCCACAAGGTAACGACCCTGATGGCACCTTGCAGTCATGGAAGGGCACCATGTATAACGGGAGGCGCCTCAACCACGCCAACACGAAGTAGTCCACCTCCAGAAGCCCATACGTCCGGCAGAGCCAACTGAATGAGTCGGCATCAACCGTCCATTCCATAGACAGGGGAATGAAACATGACAGGTCATCTGCCAGGACGTTGGATGTCCCCGAACATAAACAGCCAGGAGAACCAAACCTCGACAACTCAGCAGACTAGTCACCTGAAGCAACCAGCCCCAAAGAGCCAAGGACCACATTGAACCCCCTCGGCTCAAGCAATGAACCCCCAGGAACCAGTCCATATGGAGCCGGATCGTCGATCCGCGAGCAACCCGAACCCTCCAAAGAAACATCCACGCCGCCACAATCTCCCACACCAACCTGGTGAGCACTGGTCACAAAGCCCCAGCCAAGAGACGACGCGTCCGTAAACACATTGAGTGAGGGCTCGGGTAGGCGCCAAGGCACTGAACCCCGAAAAATCCAGTGCCATATATAAGGTAAAGTAGGTATTTTACCTATAACCACTGTACTGCGAAGAGCACCTTGAGGCGCTGGATAGAGGGTACGCAGAGTACCATGTGGCATTTTTAGGTATAGGGAGCAATTTAAAACTCTCACGGGTACACAGGATTCAAGACTCAAGACTGTGCCTCAAGACTCCTGTAAACAGGCGTCATCTTGAAAATAAATTGTCAGCATCCGTGCTGGCTGTGAGAGCCTTAGTACTGAGAGCGCGACCAAGGCTGGCACATGCAGGAGCTGCACACAGCACCGTTGTGCAGCTAGGGGCCACAGCATCACTTAGTAATGATGAATAAAATAGGTAACTGAAATTATTTTGCATTGATAGTGTCATAGATGATTCTGATAAAGACTGTGTATAACATTAAGATATCAGTGAACACAATGTTATGTTATGATATTCACAGCATGAGGTACAGACACAGCACCCAGCCTCCGTCTCCTGCATCTACGAATCATGAACTAACCTTATGTTCCTTCACTAAGGTTCATTTCCTTATGGAAATGGATTCATATATTCAGGATTTTGTGACAGGAGTGTGATAGTAACAGCAGTTTTGTAGCTAGTCATTGTGCAATGTGTAGAATATTGGAGGTATTGTCTTGCATCATGTGACTGCTGGTGTTATCAACCAGTGAGGCCTCACAAGCAAACCAAGGACCATCAACAAAGGATACCTGCTCAACCAGGCTGTGACTCATACATCAGGGTGTGAGCAGCTGCATCCAACAGCCTGGTTGACCAGTCTAGCAATGAGGAGGCCTGAGCGATGACCGAGCCAAAATGCTAAGCCCCGAAACCAACACAAGGTAACCACAAGGTAACCCAAAATCATCTACGTCCTCTAATTACTCAACACAAATCTGCTATTAGAACAATAAAAAAACTCTGGCCCCAGACAGTACTCGGCCCCCTTATATCTTTGAATATGTTAGATATTAAGTCACTGCAAGGTGGAGGCAGAGACAAATGGGCAAAAAGTTTCTTTCACCCTGATGTGCCTGTTCACCTAGCAGTAAATAGGTACCTGGGAGTTTGACAGCTGCTATGGGCTGCTTCCTAGGGATGTGTAACAAAAAGGAGGCCTGGTCAGGGACCGGGCCGCGGGAACGCTAAGACCCGAAATCATCTCAAGATAACCTCAAGATAACTGCACATTCTCTCAAGTGTACTCTATATATTTAAAACTCTTTACTGTAATGCCAATCCTGACCTTAAACGCTTCCTAGAAGGTTATAATAGAACCTATGGGCACCACACTAGAAACAAATACCTATTTGATATTCCAAGAGTGCGACTTAACCAAACTAGAAATGCTCGGCAAATCAAGGGACCCCAAAATCTGGAATGACCGTCCCAATCACGTCAAAGACTGTCCCTCTCTGAACCAGCTTAAGAAGAAAACTAAGAACTACCTAATAAACTCCATGTATCCTACCTTACCCCCTAAATATCAACCTATGTCTTGCTATTTTCAAACAATATTGATTATTGACCAACTTGTATAACTGTTGATATCCAACATGAAATAACTTGAACTGTAGTCCTGTTTATTTTATTTAGATAAAATTACTTCTGCTGTCTGTTTCAATTTCTGCTGTTCCATCCATCATGTAATAATTATAATTTTTCTTCTTTTTTTTTCCTTTTTTCCAATTCAATTTGTGCTATTGATCTCAATTAGTTTTACATTTTAATCTAAATGTTTTTACCACATGCTGCAAAATGCTGTGCATATTAGTGGCTTTAGGCATAGTATGTACTAGCTCTATCTAGAAATCTAAAATTCTGTTTGTAATTCAATTTCAATGTATGTACTTTTACCTGAATAAACATTATCATTATCACTGTTTACTTCTCAGTGAACAAAGGTATTAGGTGAAAGGAAACATGCCCAACCATTTCAGTCTTGCCTGAAAATCAAACCCAGGATCCCCAATTGTGAGTTGGTAACAAAGCCAACTGTACTACTAGTCCATACAGACTATGTAATTGTTTTGCAGCCACTGAAGAGTGATCCCTATCAGAGCTCATCACTTTCTAAAGAATAACTGGAAAATTATATGAATAACCATTATCTAGCCTAAGCACTGTGAATACTGTAAATTGTATGCATGATCATTAGTCACAGTATTACAGTACAGGGATACAGGATAAAAAATATCACTATTCTAAATCATACAATTCAAGTTATATTAACCTAAAATTACTGTATCCAGTATCCCATAGACCTTATGTAAATAGCATAACACCTTTCAAACATGTATGCAAACAATACAAAGACCCATGAACCTGAATTTACCTGAAGGTCACCCTCTCTTATGGCCTTTATGGTGACAGGAAGCCAGTGGCTTGTGGGAGGTTGTCCCATTATTTCTTAGTACTTTCAGACTTAATTTAAACTTTAGTACTATTTTTGTATTTTTGAATTTCATAGGTAAACAAAGCCATGAATTTAATATCCTTGGAGTAATAGTTGGTTTTGTTCTCGACTCACAATCGGGAATTCCAGTTCACTTCCCGGGTGGGATAGAAATAGTTTGGCACGTTTCCTTCATCTAATACTTCTGTTAACATAGCAGTAATTAGGTACCTGGGAGTTAGGCAACTGTTGTGAGGATGCATCCTAGGGAAGATCAGCAGCTTGATCTTTCAGGGACCTCAATACAAACCTAAAGTACTGTATATATATATACACAGGCTTCGTGTCCCTGATGAAAGGAATTACTAAACCATCTCTTGCCTATCATACATTATGGATTGAGCTTTATGCTGCTGCACATAGCCAGAGTTATGACGTTCTTTTTAAAGAATGCATCTAGATTCTTGCATGCAAATTGTGCAGCACTCCACAGACGTGTATTCAATGTCTACACGATCCTTGGGTTAGGCAAGGTTTCATTATTCCAACAATTTTCCAAATACTGTACTGTACATGGGAAATGATGGCACATCCTGATACAGTCTACTGTCCAATAATGTCCATATGTGTAACAAGAAGCAACTACTTCCAGCTCAACGAGCAAAAATGTTGGACATAACACAATATGCTTTTTCACCAATAAATGAATAAACTCATGGAATCACCTACCTGCTGAAGCCGTAAATGCCAAGACAATACTCAAGTTTAAATTTCTGATGGAAAAAATCTTTAGGTATAATGAGGAACCTCTGACAAGCTGCTGGCTTCCTGTCTATGTCAAAGATACAAGAGATGGTGGCTTCAGTTAAATTCAGGCAAGAGGTAAATTCTCACACTATGCTTACCTCATTTGTACAGGCTAGTTGACTAGATTCACATCAAATGTAATTTATCTGATCATTGTTGGCTACCATCTCTAGTGGCCTCAGCAGGGACAGAAAGCCAGCAGCTTATCAGAGGATCGACAAGCCAGCAGCTTATCAGAGGATCGACAAGCCAGCAGTTTGTCGATTCTCAGTGACAATAATGTGACAAGCCAGCAGCTTGTAACATTATTCCTAAGGTTTTCCCCATCTGAATTTTAAACTAGAGTATTGTCTTGGCCTTTACAGCTTTGGCTGGTAGGCAGTTTCATGGGTTTATTACAGGAAAAAGCATCTCGTGTTATATCCTGCATTGTGGCTTGTTGAGCTGAAAGCTGTTGCTCTTGCACCTGCATTACATTGGATCTTTAAAAGAAATGATCTGGAATTTATTTGAAAGCCACTAACACTGACCTCGATGAGGACAGGAAGCCTGTGGCTTGTCAACAGTCCCCTCATTTATACTGGTGATTTTTTCTACCTCGATTTTAAAATTCAACAGAGTTTTGGCATTTACGGCTTCGGTGGGTAGGGCTTCCATGGAATAATACAGTATGTGGTTCAGACAATTTAACAGTCTCCGTGGTGTAGTGGTAAGACACTCGCCTGGCGTTCCGCGAGCGCTATGTCATGGGTTCGTATCCTAGCCGGGGAGGATTTACTGGGCGCAAATCCTTAACTGTAGCCTCTGTTTAATGCAACAGTAAAATGTGTACTTGGATGAAAAAACGATTCTTCGCGGCGGGGATCGTATTCCAGGGACCTGCCCGAAACGCTACGTGTACTAGTGGCTGTACAAGAATGTAACAACTCTTGTATATATCTCAAAAAGAAAAAAAAAAGTATGACCAACCATTCTTTGGTATGGGGATATTAGGTGAACTTAATCATTAGATCTTGACCTATAATGCGTCGTCCCTCAGACAATTGGACAGCACCACTATAAACTGTAATAAAGCTTGTAAATAAAAATAAAATAAAATAATTGGCCTCTGAACTGAAGGAGAAATGTGAATTACGGTCGGCAGTAACTAAAAATTATGCTTTCAATATTTAGTTACTACCTACAGTTAGCAAACTGAATATAACATATGTGTATCTATGTATCATACATTCTTAACAGATATATAATTTAATATGAATCAATGATATGCTTACTTTTTCAGGTACCTCGCGTCTTCCACCTGCATCTTCTTCAGCTGTCAATATTTGTTGACCAAAACATTCCACTACCCGAGTGTTCGAAGCCTCGGAACCACAACTTCTTGAAGCATCAACCACAACAGCTCGAGTCGAATCGAATCCAAGACCAGTTTTGTTTTGTTTTATTTTTTATATTTATTTATTTTTCTTTCTTTCTTTATTTATTTCAAACATATCTCATTGAATATGACCGCATATTCTGTATTTACTATTTTCTGATTTAGGGCTTCTATCCCTCTAACTATTTTCTTAGCATCAGGGCTTAGCTGAAATAGGAGTTCTCCAAAACTCATTTTCGTAATTTTAAGGTGAAGAAAAGAAGTGAATTACTATAGAATGTATTACACTTATTTATACAATTTGCACAACGTTTCGAACCTCCATGGTTCATTCTCAAGTGAAAAGAATTTTCAGGTTTGGTTGATTTTATACCTGCACTGGGTCAGGTGATAAGACAATAAAGGTGAAAACATGGGGGATACATAATGTAGCGTCCATTGCTATCTAAAATAATTAGGAGAGCCAAGATTAAATACTACGAAGATAAATTTACCCACACAAAGGGCAACATTAAGAAAACATGGAGCACAATTTCACAAATATTGGGATCAAAGAAGATTTTAAATAACAAACCAATACTCCTGTCAAATAATGATGGTCTGCTTTTAGCCTCTGACACTGCTTTTGAGTTCAATAGGTTCTTCTCTTCCATTGGGTCATCCCTTGCTAATGATATTCCATCTTCCAATACTAATATTCAGGACTATCTTACAGGTAACTATCCACAGTCTCTGTACCTAATGTCTACTAATGCCACTGATGTTACTGACATAATCCTTTCCCTTAAAACCAAGTCTAGTGCCCTTGAGGAGATACCAACTCTTATTTACAAAAAAGCCTTGTTACAGTGCCCTCTCCTATTTCTTTCGTTTGCCTGCTTTAAGAATCATATTAGCTCTCCCTGCTGAATCTCTGAGATACAGGGAGTCTGTTGGTATATGTGGCGACCAGACCGGCCGCCAGATAAGGGAGAAATTTACATAATAAGTTTGTAGGTAAAGAGGAAAGTGGCGCCCAGATATAAATGAAAGAGTACCCCCTACCTGTAGGTCCGCCGTTTTGTAGAAAACGTTAGCCGTGGGCGGATTGGGTGGCGTGGGTCACGGGCGACCAATCAGAGCCCGCCGTGACGTCACCGAGTACCCCGGGCGGCGCCAACGTCAGAGTTGACCTGACTGCGAGGTGAGAGGACGCGCCTCGGTCAGCTCTTTTTTTTTTTTTTTTTTTTTTTTTTTTGAGATATATACAAGAGTTGTTACATTCTTGTACAGCCACTAGTACGCGTAGCGTTTCGGGCAAGTCCTTAATCCTATGGTCCCTGGAATACGATTCCCTGCCGCGAAGAATCGTATTTTCATCCAAGTACACATTTTACTGTTGTGTTAAACAGAGGCTACAGTTAAGGAATTGCGCCCAGTAAATCCTCCCCGGCCAGGATACGAACCCATGACATAGCGCTCGCGGCCGGAACGCCAGGCGAGTGTCTTACCACTACACCACGGAGACAGCTCTCGAGGATTTGAGGCTCTACAAGCCTTGTTCAGTGGATTAAACTCACCATCGTTATTGGAGACCCTGCGCTTCTGGGAAGCAAGAAAGAAGCCAAGTTCATTGAGCGGAGGAGTGCCAAACTTGGAAAATTGGTCGGCGACGACGCTAGGCGGCGCCGCTCGACGCTGAGGGCCTGGAAAGGTGTGGCGGGCAGGCTTAGCTGTGACCAGGTCACATTCACTGAGGGTTTTGGAGGGACGACACCGTTCCTAGGACAAGGAGCAACGCGTTGAGGAAGGGACGAGTGTGTGAATATAGTGATTAGTTAAGTGCCCACTGGTGAACCAGGATTGGGATAGCTGAATCTCTGGGATTAGATCGGCGATGACGCGAAGGCTGCACGACACCTGAGGACTTGTGGAACGTTCCTGGATCGTCAAGGATCGACTCAGGAAGCGTGGGAACCTCACACCATCGAGGGACAGGCGTCGTGAGCCAGGAATGTAAGGTAGATCAAATTTCCCTCGCATTACCTTTTGTTCGAGTAGGCTAGATAGGCCACGATATTTGCATTTGTATGTTGCAGGATAGCATTAATATTTTAGTAGTAGGATAGGCTGCAGGGCAGCTTGTGTCCAGAACTGTTGGAGAGGACAGTGTGTGTGGACGGCAGGACAGTTGAAGAAGAGGTGCCGACGTGGCGAAGAGGCCCTTCTGTGAGAGAGTGTGTGACTCCTGTCTAATCTGCCCAGTTGAAGGAGGGTTTTGGAGGTCGTGGAAGAAGAGTTGCTGACGATCTCCAGATTTATTATCCTTATGTTAGTCTCCGTGGTGTAGTGGTAAGACACTCGCCTGGCGTTCCGCGAGCGCTATGTCATGGGTTCGTATCCTGGCCGGGGAGGATTTACTGGGCGCAATTCCTTAACTGTAGCCTCTGTTTAACGCAACAGTAAAATGTGTACTTGGATGAAAAAACGATTCTTCGCGGCAGGGGATCGTATTCCAGGGACCATAGGATTAAGGACTTGCCCGAAACGCTACGCGTACTAGTGGCTGTACAAGAATGTAACAACTCTTGTATATATCTCAAAAAAAACAATGTTCATTTTCCTGTATTGCTTATAAGTGTATGTGTGATCATGTAGTTTGTGTCAGTAAATTCACACATTTTATCGTTGTGTTTAAGTGTGCCTCCATTATTATTATATTTATCTATGAGCATACACGAGGGTTATCATAGTACCACCTAGGGAACGTCACGTTCTCTATAGAAGTTCTTATCGCCTGGAGAGTGGTAAAGCAGCACAGACTTATATAAAAGTGTACCCTAAGCCATCCGACCAGTATTAGAGTCTGAATGGTGGCAACAAGCAACGTGGTGGCTGGAGATAGGTAAAGCCATACAGACTTTTATGGGAAAGTACCCTGGGCTGACAGTCCAGTGGCAGATCGAGGGAGTAGCAACGCTCTGGCAACAAATAGTATAGAATACACCCACTGAACTGCATCGCTGGGGTGCAGATATACTAACCCAGCTGGCGACCTTGTTAAAACACTTTCCCGCATTTGATGATTTCGTGGGTCGTCACCAAATTTTCTTACGTTTCTGCATAACAGACTACGCGTGTAGTCCGGCGAAAAAATATTTGTATAAATTCCATTTATTATCCGGTCAACTTGGGAATAGTTTACAAATGTTTGCCATGAAATTTACGTTTTTTCTAATAGCCGAACAGCTTATTAAAGAAAACGGCATGGCAGTGAATCATCGTGGTAAAACAATTGTATTATTGACACGACGAGTATAATCGACGTAGTTTATATATATGTTGCCGGTCGAACGCATCCTTATGTGACCTTTAATACTTATGTTCTTATAGAACATTCTATTGCGAACACATTGGAACAAAAATGAAATACATACATCGAAAAATAATGTCAGGACAGTGAATTGAATATACACTTTTCAAAGCGAGTTTCGCCGATATGCCGCCGCGGGTAACACTTCGGCCACTTCCCACACTGTTTTGGGTGGGCTACGACATTGAATCTATATTTATATGCATATGTCCGTGTAGAGAATTTTATTGCGATTCCAATGATATCACAATTAGCGATGTAGAACAACTGTAGGCTTCGCAACCATTAAGAGAGTGGAAACATTTTGTTGCTGTTTGGCGCTCTCGGCAAGTGATCTGAATAGTTTTTTATTTGGTGTTGATAGTCCTTATGCTTTGGCGGCATTTTATAGGTATGTTCTTATAGACAATTTTATTGTGAACACAGTGATACCAAATTTAAATACGTGCGCCTTCAATTATTGTCAGGACAGTCAAAAGAGTGTACACTTTTTCGGTCTTACCGCGTAGGCGCGCGAAACGCCGAAAGCAGTAAGTTTTTTTCAGAAGGCAGTGATCGTGAAAGTGAGAAGATAGGGAAGGCTGGCGGGAAAGGAGTTCCTGCAACCTTTTTGTCTGGCAGGCAAGACTCAGGAAAGTTATTGTTATAAGGTAAGCCTGAGTCTTTCTTCACTTCTCCACGGGTCTAGGCCCGAACTGTTAACAGCAGTTTCCCCGTGGTTGACTGAAGGGCTCCCAGGGTGAATCAGTGGCACCCCCCCCCCCTTTAGTGTTGGGAGCAAAGACCTGCGATGGTGGGCATTGCTGGTCCTCCCCTGTGGGACCAAGGAGACTCCGGTGAATCCCGGGAGTCGGAGGGGCTGAATATTCTGCCTTCTGAGCCCCTAGCAGCCGATTGCTAGCAGAGCCCCAACCCACCCCCCCGTGAGGGCCGCCAGATTATTAGCTCCTGCCATTGCACTGCTCTTCAACAAGTCACTTGAACTCCAAACCTTTCCAGATATTATATATACGGACTCCCCACTAATAGTCCGTATAAACTATATATAGTTTATACGGACTAAACTATAAACTTATGCTGTTTATACGGTAAACTATAAACATATGCTGAATATAAACATATGCTGTAAACTGTTTATACGGACCGTATAAACTATATATAGTTTATACGGACTCCCCACTCAAAATATAAGCCATCATCCATTGTCAGAACGAAAGGGAGGGATTAAAACTGGAAAGGGTGTAATCTCCCACGGTGCAGGAAAGTGCCGTTGCTGTCTCTCTTGGTACAAATTATAAACCTGACGCATTTTGAAATCATTCCCAGTTTTAGTTATGCATCTGGAACTATGTTGACCTTCAATAAAGAAATTCTGGAGGGCTTCTGTGCAAGGGTTAGGATGAGTTAGCCTAAGCATTTTTAAACCAATTTGACAGTTAATTTCAGTAACACGATCAACAACGCTCGGAATATTGAGTTTTCTGTTCGGGGGAGAAAAGACGCAAGCCAATATGGGGGGGGGGGTTATCTTGAGATGATTTCGGGGCTTTTAGTGTCTCCGCGGCCCGGTCCTCGACCAGGCCTCCCCCCCCCCAGGAAGCAGCCCGTGACAGCTGACTAACACCCAGGTACCTATTTTACTGCTAGGTAACAGGGGCATAGGGTGAAAG